TTTTTTGTTGGTGACTGCGCTTGCAATGTGTCCTCCAGGCAGCGCCCAGGAGGGCATTTTCATCATGACATATTTATGGGTCGCCCCCAGGAACTCCAGCACACATTGCCCCACGCGCTGCCTGGGAGACCCACCAAGGGCTCAAACCTGATCTCCATCCAGCTTCCGGGTTCCTCCCTCCCGTGGACTACGTTTCTTTCTTTCCCTTCAGCTTGTAGCGCATGCCAGCTGCAGGTGTGCTCCACCACAACTGCTGAGTTTTCACTTCAGACTTCCTTCAGGAGTCAAGTTGCAATGAGTAATATGGAGATTTTTTTCCTCTTGGGGGACCCAATTAGTCACGCCATCATCAGACCACAGAATGATACTCATTATTCCATATGTTCATTTGGGGGGGGGGGGGGTGGAGGTGGGGAGCAGAAGGAATCCATGGGTTGCAGACACGGATCTCCTGGACGCTGCCACTCCTTCTCTGCACAACTGCCAAGACTTTAAGATCAATAGGCAGGTTCGCCTCTCAGGAGGCTGGCAATGAACAATGGGAAGCAATGTTTGGAAAGCCACTGGGGGTTGCCTGAGAGCGTGATGCACAATCATTGGCAAACCACAACTATCTTTGAAATGACAACAGTGGACGTGTATCTACAAGAGTCTCCGTGTTAGGGTGGTTTTGTTTTTTTCCCCCTAATTGTTTCTTGGTGGAATTCAAAAGGATTTGCATCCTCCAGTTTTTGCTTTCCTGATTTTGTTGGGATGGCTTATGCTGCCACAATAATACAACCCTTGGTGGAGTGCCCTGCTTAGGCCACCCATTTGGTCAACTGGTCAAACTGGCAGCTGAGGGCTACATTGGGATGGTGACCTTTGAATTGTGCATCTTGTCCAGTAATGATGGCTTCTTGTCCTAAAGTCAATGGTGATAGCTGCTCACCCACATTGAAACTCCTTCAGATCATCATCTCCTCCTCCTCCTCCTCCTCCTCCCACCTGCTGAATGCCCCAATTCTCTTTCCATCTACAGGCCGAAGCATCATATGTCACACTCTAGTTCTTTCACAGCTCTCCTTTAATGTTTCTCAACCTTGGCAACTGCAGGTGTGTGGACGTCAACTCCCAGAATCCTCCAGCCATGCCAATTCCAGGAGTCAAGCTGCCAAGGTTGAGAAATTTAAGAATTCTGTGCCACTCCCATCTCCAAGCTAGAAATCTGAGTCAGGGCCTATAATCTTTTGTTCTGCTTGTCCAGGATCCATTGTGCATAAATGCTTTCGAAAGTATTCAAACAATTCAAATCCAAAACCACAAAATTCAGTCTAGAAAGGGCAACCTGGTGCACCGATGCCAACAGATACCTGGCCAGCCAAGGCAGAGAGCCCAGGTAAGTTGGAAAACGCGTCCGCCTCCAACATTGTTTCTTCTGCAGGGGTTGACCAACTGCAACCCAGAAGATCAGAAGACCTCCGCTCCTTCAAACCCACAACCTATAATTTGTGAATGGGTGTTCGTTTCCCAACCAGAACACCTGGGAACCCAGACCCTTTTGTTTCTTAGAAAAGTTCAGAATCCAGAACCTCCTGTTTCTCCTCTTATCAACAGCTGCTGTCCTGAGCACCCACACCCTCCTGATGTTCCTCTGCTGAGGACCAGTGGTGCGTGACAGGTCTCTCTCCCAGGAACGACATACAACCTGGTTCAACATCCTTATCCACGTAGGTTATCTCCAGTGTCAATAAGAAAAAAAAAGAATGCTAATAATGCACCAGAGCTTTTACAGTTAGAATCACAAAGTTTATTGCTGGAATTCTCCCATAAACTGATCTTGATCCTGTTCAGATAGGACGCTTCCTTGTAAAGGCTCAGCTGAATGTAGTTGGTACACGTAGCTTTAACACAGGGTCTTCAAACTTGACAGCTTTAAGGCTTGTGGACTTCAACTCCCAGAATTCCTCCTCCAGTCATGTTAGCTCGGGAATTCTGGGAGGTGAAGTCCACAAGTCTTAAACTTGCCCAGTTTGAAGACTCTTGCTTTAGCATCTCGGGACACTCACACCCCTCCAGAGATTCCTGGGTCAAAGCTTTCAATGAGGGCCTGAAACGTTCTTGTCCAGACCAACCTGCAACGGGAACATGGATGGAGAAAGGGATTTGCCTCAGTTTCCTTATCTTCTCCTTCCCAACCATTTTTCGCTGAAGGGGCAAGAGAGTGAATCTGGACCCTGCAAACTCTAACTTCTCCCAGGGAGTGGTAGGCCTGACCATACGATTCTATGATTGTCAAGAAGCTAATTTAGTGAGAATCCTCTTGATCGAGATCTGGCCTTGACTTGGGTCAACGCAAAGAAGGTGACCTCAACATTTCCCATCTTTGCAAGCTGTGATTCCTCACCTGAACCCATTCACTTGCATTTGGTTTAAAAAAAATTTTAACAGACACAAACACACACACACACACACACACAATTTGGCTGCAAGAGAAACAATGACTATCACGTCTAAGTAGAACATGAGAGGGGTTAAAAGACAGAGCTAGTTCAGGTTGGCCAAGATTCTCTGATACGAATCAATTGGGCCATTTATGAAAAGTTGTTGAGCTTATTGGCCTTTGTTGATGGTTTTCTGCTCAGGAAGATTCTTATAAATCCAACCAGGTACATTTTTCGGAGGCCGCCCTTCCTGTTGAGCTTAAATTAGGAAGGTGGATTTTTGTCTTGGCTGAAGTAGACAGTTCCAAAATAAGTGGTGCTTGTACAAATGCCACCTATTTGAACCAGATAGCAATTGATGGTAATTTATTATTAGGAAAGAACAGGCTGCCTCATTAAAGCATCATCTGGGTAGCATTTCATGTGCAATTTAGCTGTCAGGGGAGAGGCTGTTTCTGGTGCTGCCAACTCTGTGAGGCCACAACAGCCTTGTTTGCTCTACCTGGCTTGATTCTGGGAGGCGAAAAGAAGGCGGGGAAAGGAAGGGGGAACTTGGGGAGACAGTCCAACTTCTACCAACCAACCAATTTTGCAGCTTCAAAGTTTCTATGAAAGCTCGTCCCAGCTGCAGCCATAGTGATCTACAGGCCCCGGTGAAGCAGCAGTTTTGGGAAGACTTTGATGCAATTTTTACCAGAAACGAGGAAAAAATCAAAGTCCTCCACTTCCAACAGTCTGTTTAGTGATGGTTCAAAGTTACAATGGCACTGAACAAAATGGCCTGTGACTGTTTTTCATAGTTACAACCTTTGCAGCATCCCCATGGTTTTCTTTAGTTTATAATTTACTAAAAATAATAAAGTTATGCCATAGTTTTTTAAAAAAGAAGTGGCTATCACCCAGAGTGGGGCTACGAGGTTTTCTGTGCAATATTTCACGGAAGAACCTAAAGAACTGCATGAGGAATCCCTTTTCAGACCTCCCTCTGAAGGTCAAATTGCAAAGTGACCTCTAGGCCCACTGACCTGCTGATCCATTCATCAGGGTCTCCTCTACTTGCCTGATCTATGGAATCCGGTGAGGTTGACTCCCAGATAAGCATGTTTGCAACTGAACCAAGAGTGGAGTTTCTTTCCAAAAATTGTCTACTTCCTGATTCCTCTTCCTGGGAACCTTTTGTCCCCACCCATCCAGGGATTGTCTCCTGAAGCACAAAGCATGCTTCACATAACCAACACCGAGACATTTCCTTTGCGAAGCTGCTAGAACCTCCTATTGCTTCTGAAAGGTCACCAAACGAGCTAAGAAATATCTGCTCGGCTCCTTCCTGTTGGTTCATGGCTGTGATATGGATGGCCACACCTCTGGAGTGAAGAGATCTGAGACCCTTGAGCAAATGGGGAGGCGATCTCTCTCACTCAGTCCCGCCCCGAGTGAACTCTACCTGCAATTCATCACAGCTCTCAGGTTACACTTGCGAAGAAGCCAGGCAGCCAGATACGAGCTCAGGTAAACCACCTGTTTCCAGGAGATGCTGATTGCAACACGAGAGCTTTGAATCTGCCAGAGGATTTGGAAGCAGAGATTTGGAGAATCGGTTGTCTCTGGAGCTTGGAAGATGTACCTGGGGGATAAAAGGTTCCTGTGCCAGATTCCACACCTGCTGGCCCTGGGGACTCTCATGTTGCTGGCCACCGTCATGCTGAAGTACAGCCATTGGCAGTGTGACCCCAGCTATCTGGAGAGAGGCACCATGGACCCCCAAGGTCAGTTCTGCAAGGACCAGCTCTACCAGTCAGTGAGGCTCTCCCCCGTGGAGAACATCAGTTGCTCTGGGATCAGCAGAGGGGACATAAAGGCGATGCAGGACGCTCTGGTGAGCAAGTTGCAATGGAAGAGCAAGCGGTTGGCCTTGGATGAGATGTTCTACTTGAACCTAACCAAGGATTGCCGGACCTTCAAAGAAAGGAGAAGATTCGTTGGGTTCCACCTGAGCGAAGAGGAAGAAAACTTCCCTATTGCTTATTCCATGGTGATCCATGAGAAGATCGAGATGTTCGAAAGGTTACTGAGGTCCATCTTTGCTCCTCAGAATGTATACTGTGTCCACGTGGACAGCAAATCTCCCGAACTTTTCCAAAAAGCTGTTCGGGGCATTGCCTCCTGCTTCGACAATGTTTTTCTGGCTTCTAAGCAGGAGAGCGTGGTATATGCCTCTTGGACGAGGGTCCAAGCCGACCTGAACTGCATGAAGGACCTACTTCAAAGCAAGGTGCGCTGGAAGTACCTCCTGAACACCTGTGGGACCGATTTCCCAATCAAGACGAACAGAGAGATCGTCCAAGCCCTAAAACTACTGAACGGGAAAAACAACATGGAATCCGAGAAACCTTCGTCCCACAAAAGGAACCGCTGGAAATACCACCACGAAGTGACCAACTACATCGTTCAGACCCAGGAGACCAAGAGCCCCCCTCCCCAAAGGTCCCCCATGTTCACTGGCAACGCCTACATCGTGGTCACCAGGGAGTTTGTCCAGCATCTCTTCAAGGACCCGACCGCAAGGCGCTTGATCGAGTGGTGCAAAGACACCTACAGCCCCGATGAACATCTCTGGGCTACCTTGTATCGCATGCCGGAGGTGCCCGGCTCGGTCCCTTTTAATGACAAGTTTGATCTCACAGACATGAATGCCATTGCCCGGGCGGTGAAGTGGGCCTACAGCGAAGGGGACGTCAGCAAGGGAGCCCCTTACTCACAGTGTACTGGAGTCTACCGGCGGGCGGTCTGTGTCTATGGATTTGGAGACCTCCACTGGCTGCTCTCCCAGCACCACCTGTTCGCCAACAAGTTCGACCCCAGCGTGGATGAGTACGTCATCCTGTGCCTGGAAGAGTACCTGCGCCACAAGGCCATCTACCAAGAGCCCCTTTGAGCATGGCCCACCTCCTCCCTCAGGGAGGGCAGACTAGGGTCATCCCTCCAACGGCAGGGCTGACAAATTGTGGGTCAATCCGATGGACCGGACTTCGCACCCTAGGACTTTCAGCATTCTGAAGGGCTTTGTGGTCCTAGATCTGACATTCAGGGACATTGCAAACCCCAAGGTAGGGAGATTATTTTTCCCTCCGGGGCTGAGGGTGAAAGCTAGACTTGCGCAACCCCACGGGTTCGGTTTCAGCAAAACTGGTAGCGTCGGTTAGATTCATGAGTCATTCTCCTGCCCTGCAGTTGTGTTTCCTAGCGGGGAAAATGTGTGGTCTGGTGAACACACGTCTTTGGACTCTGCTCTTCTGTATTTATAAGGTAGGGTGGAAAGGAGAAAGTGGCATTTGGTCATTTGTTTGCGTTGGTCCGTTTTCCGTACGTGGGAAACAGCTGTGATAATTGTGCTGTGCTGATCGGGTAAGAGGGACTGTTTGGGAAGGTGTTCCTCATCCAGTTCCCCTCTCTCCCTCCCCCTCCTCCTCCTATCTGCAAACCCCTTTCCCTTCTAGCATTGATGGTGTTACCTAGTTGGGCCATGACACATCTGCAAAAAATCAACCAAGCTCAGAGAGCACCAAGGACCTTGAACCCCTCCTCCTCCTCCTCCTCCACCTCCCTTTACAGCCTCCAAGGCATCAGATTTGCATCCAGCTTACTGTGTAAGCAAATTGGCACCTCACTTCTCAACCCAGCTATGTCTTTCGCTCAATTTTCACGCCCAGGTGTAAGGTGACCAACCGTCCTCCTTTAGGGAGGACAGTCCTCCTTTGGTAAGTTCTGTCCTCTCTCGAAAAGTGTCCTCCTGCATGTCCTCCTTTTTGATATTTGCAGTCTAATCTGTGAATCTCCGTATTTGATCGATGCCGATCCGATCCATTGTGTGTGATGTGACGTATTGGTATTTGACATGACGATTCGTCAAGGCTCGGTACATTGCGGCGAGACGCAATTATGAGACGCATGCGCTCCACACAGGAGAATTGTTTTGAGAGAGTGCACCATGCGCAAGTGGCTTTGTTTTTTTCCCCTTCCATTTATTTGGTTCCTCTGTCTCATTGTAAAAAAGTTGGTCACCTTACCCAAGTGGCATCAAGTGTCAAAAGAAGATCTTTTTTATATTCCCTAGGAAGCTCATAGGGTGCCTGCTTCCTGAGTCTGCACAAGCCAGAATGCTTCCTTGAGAATCCCAGGTCACAGATATTGCCAGCTTATAATGCCAGCCTGTCCTTGCCGGGGTTGACCACCCCCCTCCTCAGCCCAACAGGCCTTCTTTTCAGCAAATGCTAAGGTTTTCTTCGGTTTTTCTTCTCCACTGATTAGAAGATGTTCCTTTAGCTATCTGGGGAATCCTGGGAGCTGAAGCCCACTCGTTTTAAAGCATGTTTCTGGAACTAACCAAGGAGAGAAGCAACCTAGAACTAAGCAGAGATTTCCTGACAATTAGAGCAATTAACCAGTGGAACAATTGGCCCCCAGAGGTTGTGGGTGCTTCATCACTGGAGGTTTTCAATAAGAGATTACACAGCCATTTTGTCTGAAATGGTATAGGATTTCCCGCCTAGGCAGGGGGTTGGACTGGAAGACCTCCAAGGTCTCTTGTTATTCTGCATTCTGCATTGAAGCAGGCTGGCTGGGAAATTCTGCAAGTTGAAATCCACCCCTCCTCAAGTGGACACAATTCAGAAAAAGGGAGCCAAGTCTAGGTTTTAAACCAGCTTCCGCATTCAGATTTCCCTAACACAAACCAAGGAGGTAGGGTGGTGAGTCTAAGAGCTAGATGGGGAGAACACATTTGTAGGGGTGATGGGAAGTGTAGTCCAACACACCTGATGGGCACCAGGTTAAAGAGGATTGACCCAGAGTCTTTGGTTGAGTTCTACTCTTTGTCTCTGTACTTCTCAGTGGCGTTTATAGATGCTACGGATGTGCGATGGTGTAATGAAGGTGCTGAAATACGTTTCAGGATTGCCAAATGAGCCCTACATGTTTCCATGTATGTAAATCCAGGGGCCAATGTCACACCGTGTTTCCAGGGGTTGATTCATGGATGTGCCAATGTCTGTATGCCTACATGCAAAAAGGCCACACTGGGGGGGGGGGGATTCAGAATAAACTAAAGCACAGTTTCTACTTTTGGTTTTTGTGGGAACTTAAATCCAGGAAGAGTTTTTGATTACAATCCAGGGCAATTTGCAGGCTCTTTTTTTTCTCTTTTTTCTGGGGGGACAAGAGATGTTTATGGAGATTCTCAACTAACCCGGTCATGGTTGTCCCAGAACTGAAGCAGCTTCTTGGATGAGAAGCGAAATGTTTTCAAAGGGAAAAAAAAGTTCAGTGGCCTTTGGGACAAAAGCACCTGTGGGATTTGGCTTTGGGGTACCTGTCATCTTGGACTGGAACGAGAAATTGACATTAAACCAACGCCATCGAGAAGCTGAGCTGGTCTCTCTGCCTGCTCCAATGGGTCACAAACTGGCAAATGCCAACCTGCAACCTCTTCCCCTCCCTCCTTCCCTCCATCCCTCTCCAGCTCCTTTCTTCCCAGATCCCAGCAGCCCCTCCACTCTGAGATTGGCTCGGCAGAGCAGCCCATCCTGCCTCGGGTTCCCGGGACAAGCCCTGGTGTGGCAACAACTTAAGTTCCCAGCTGCTGTGCAATGTCAAGTCCAAAGAACACCCTTCTTACACAACAACAACTGCGGGCGGAAAGCCTTATTCCTCCCCCCCCTTTTTTTCTTTTTGCATGTACCTTGAAAAGGAGCCTCCCAACACCTGTTTTATTGCACACTTCTTAGAATAGAATTCTTGTGTGAATGGACACGCAAGGAATTTGTCTTGGTGCAAATGCTCTCAGTGTGCATAAAAGAAAAGAGACATCGTCAAGAATCATCAGGTACAACACTTAATGATAATCATAGGTACGAATAGAATAGAATAGAATAGAATAGAAATAGAATAGGATAGGATAGGAATAGAATAGAAATAGAAATAGAAATAGAAATAGAATTCTTTTATTGGCCAAGTGTGATTGGAAGCACAAGGAATTTGTCTTGGTGCAAATGCTCTCAGTGTACATAAAAGAGAAGAGACATTTGTCAAGAGTCAAGAATCATAAGGTCCAACACTTAATGATAGTCATAGGGTACAATAAGCAATCAAATCATACCAGGAAACAGTCCATATAAATCTTTAGGATACAAGTGAAAAAGTTAGTCATACAGTCACAAGTGGGAGGGGAGGGGTGATAAGGAGTGACGAGAAGATTAATAGTAATAGTAGTGCAGATTTTGTAAATAGTTGGACAGGGTTGAGGGAATTATTTGTTTAGCAGAGTGATGGCGAAACTCTCCGTGTGTCTAGTTGTTGTGGTGCGCAGTGCTCTATAGCGTTGTTTTAAGGTTTATTAAAACAGTTTATGTCCAGGATGTGAGGGGCCTGTAAATTCTTCTTCTGGGTCCTCTTTGCCACATGTCCGAAGGGCAGACCTGACCGAGGGACTCTTAGCTCTTTGGGAAGAGTTGTCTTCTGCCTGGACTTGGAAAAGATTGCTGCTGACAGGCCACCCAATTCCCTGGTGGTTCACAGGAGGTTTAGGTTGAGGCATGCACGATTTGGGTAGGTGGGTTTGATAGCAGCACTCAACTCTTCCCCCAATCGTTAGCATTCGAAGCCAACAAGGGGAGCTATGCAGTAATGGAGTAATATCTCCCCACCTCCATCTCCCTCCCTTCCCCAAGACACAGCAAAGCCTGCTCTCATCGAACTGGTAATATAAAAAAAAATGGAATCCCACCACTGCTGTTGATCACCTGACCAGAGCAGCCCAACAATTCCAGGTCATAAATCCTTTTTCAGGTCAGTCATTAAGCAACCAGTCCTAGGTCAGGGACTAGCTGTCCAAAAGGCTCCCTTTGGGGCGTGTTTGTGTGTCCACAGCTGGTGACTCGGGTCATTATGATGTAAGCTTTAGAGCAGGGGCCTCCAACCTTGGCAACTTTAAGCCTGGAGGACTTCAACTCCCAGAATTCCCCAGCCAGCCATTAAAGTTGTCAACATTGGAGACCCCTGGGAAGATGTCTTGAGCCCAGAATCCTGGGAGTTGAAGTCCTCCAGTCTTCAAGTGGCCACGGTTGGAGACCCCTGCTTTAGAGCAAAGTTGTCCACTGTTGGCCACTTTAAGGCTTGGGGACTTCAACTCCCAGAATTCCCCCCGCTGGCTGGGGAACCCTGGGAGTTGGAAGTCCACAAGGCTTAAAGGAGCCGACGTTGGAGACCCCTGCTTTAGCGAGAGCGAATTTAAATGTCTCTAGCGGACAGTTTGGATTCGAATACCCCATCCAAGTAGAGGGTGACCATCTTGATAGGACAGAAGGCAAAAACAAATGAGGGCAATCAATCATGGTTTATTCTATCCATGAGCTTCTGCCAACGGGGTTTAGACTTAGATTTGTAAAGCCCCTCTGAAGCAGGGCAACCTGTTTTCACATCCTTCGCGTGCCTGTCACGGTACTGTTGGGTTGGGTTTTCCTTTTCCCTGAGAAATGTCCGCTTGGCCAAAGCGTTTAAAACAAATAAAAACCAGTAATCCGTGAGATCCGGCAGCCATCAGATCTCCAGCTTTGTTCGCTGAAGCATTGCTAAGTGCTCTAAGTATGGTGTGCAGAAAACGAGGGCCGGTTGGACGCTTTTTCTGGAGGACTTTTTGTACAGCTGCTGCCCAACAACATCAGGGAAAAACAGTCCTAGGAACAGAGGAAAACGGGTGTGCCTGGCCTTGAAGCCGATCTCCTTGTCAAGAGGGCACAGAGGATATTTATTCATCTTCGGAAATTAAGTATGTTGCTATGCCCACAATCAAGATAGTGTAACTATTTAGCAATAAAACAGAAATCAGCCAGGGAAAAATCTTATCTGAGAAATCTGAGTTGGGAACAAACAACGTCCTGATTGGCTGCAGCAAAACGTGCAGCTCCTGGGAGCGATGCTTACTTTCTGTTGCAAATATGCAAGTCTATTTCTTCGTTGCTACTCGGCATGCTTGGATGAGCCCATAAAGGCAGAATTCAGGTTGGATGCGCCCAGTTTAGGATGTAAGACTGTTGAGTCTCCCTTGATTAAATAATGTTAATTTTTCAAAAGGCGCTGGAGTAAGTAAATATCCCGACACCGAATGAATACAGGTGGCTACACAGGTTAGATAAATATAGAACATGATCTCATGAATATAACAAAAATGAGAGAGAGAGAGAGACAGAAAGAAGGAAGGAAGGG